CTATAGTTTAAATTTGGAGGGAATGAAATAGTCCAGTCCATCCCATTCTCCATCCACCGCTGTTAGAAACAGAACAATTCTTGGCGACCAAGTATCGGGGATTGGAAAAATTACACTAGACCCTTTAAATTATGCCAATTATTCACCTAAACTCCCTAATATTTAAAATATTACATAAAATCTCCTAAACTTTATATGCTCATAACACATAGACCCCCTCAAGTTTAAAACATGTAATATGTAGAGGGTATATATATAATACGGTATTTCAAATATAAAAAGTCTAAATAATTAAGTCACAAACTTTAAAGAAATTTGTGTAATTTTTCCTTTCTGTTTTTTTATTGGGTCATTCTTGTTATAGTGAAACAACGTCCCACCCAACTGAAGCGTTTCAATTCTCGACCTGGCATCCCATTTCCGCCCAACTGTTTTTTTTTTTTTCAATGGAAGTTGTTGTTGATCATTCACAGAAAAATGTCTCCACCACCGCCACCGGCAGCAGCAGTGTAACAGAAATACTTAAAGTTTCAAATCCATTTATAAATAAATGGGTTGGGTATTTATATTAATTAATATGAATTCTAAATGAATTGGGTAATATGATTCATTGTAATTAAGCAGGTTAATATAGATTATAAATGAATACCCATTGGGTTGAACAATTATTTTTTTATTAAATAGTACAAGTAATAAAATTAAATAAATGTATACCCATAACCCATGGGTTGACCCACAACCCATAGATCGACCCATGACCCACAATTGACCTCGACCTATTGTGCGTAATTTTTTGATTAAATGTGCTTTAGTTTTTGTGTTAATATATGTGTGTATATTTTTGGTGTATTAGTGTGTATTTTAACGTATTAATATGTATATTTTTAATGTATTAATTTGTATTTATTTTGGTGTATCTATGTGTATATGTTTGTATTTTGGTGTACTACTAATATATGTGTGTATTTTGATGTATTAATGTGTCTATTAAGAATTTTAATTATTTTATGGGTTAATCGATTTAACCCAACCCATCATAACTCATTTACTATGTGAATAAAAAATAAATTGAATTTATTTTAACCCAATCCAATTTAACCCAACTCACCCGTTCTAGTAATACTCGTCTCTGTGCGGGTGTTTTGGAGGGTATTTTTGATTTTCGGTACACTTTATTTTACTTTTGGGCTCCTAAGAGAAAGAGAAATTCTTAACTATTTTAGATAACCTCTCCACAAAATTTGATTCCAATGTATTTGACTGGCTATTTTCCATAAATAACCCATTCTTCCCTTGCTATTTCTTCCCTCTCCATTCTTCCCACAAAGCTCATTTTTTCTAGCTAGCCTCTCTACAAAAGCTCATTTTTGTGCCAATTTCGTCTCTTCATAGCACCCCCAAATTCCTGACTCTCTCACAAAAGCTCCATAGCACCCCGATTTCGTCTTCATCATCGCACAGAAGGTTCATCGTCCACCCGAGTATGGAGTTCTCTCTCACACACACACACAAAAAAAAAACTGTGTATTTATACCACTGAAAATCCACCTAAAACCCACCAAAAATCACTGAAATTCCATCAAAAAAACCCATGGAAAACACACAAAAACCCCACTGAAAATCCATTGAAATTCCACCAAAAAAACCCACTAAAATCCTACCAAAAATCCATTGAATTCCCACCGAAAAACCCATGAAATCCCACCAAAAAACCATGATCAAACCCACTAAAACTAGAATGATTATGTGGTTTGCATACCTGGTTTATTATTCTCTGGATCCAAATGCCGATAGCAAATCTAGAAGAAAAATTCTTTAATTTGTTATGTTGCGGTAAAAATTTGGTTTTCTAATAGATTTTCTTGATTGTTTGTTTCTGCATTTGGGTAACGTGTAATTGTGAATTAATAGTTAGTTGAAATAATTATTTAAAATAGAGGGCGTCGATGGGTTGAATCAGCAGAAGTTGTTCATTAAAATAGATAGTGTAATAAAAAATATTATTTTGATTAGCCAAAGTAGCTACTATCCAAAGGACATTCTGACACCAAAATACTAAAATGCCCCAAAAAATGTTACCAAATACATGGTAACATATTCACATTCACACATAAACAATGACATATTCACATTAACATGATCACTCTGACCTAAAAATAATGAAAAAATATCAAAAAAATAATTATATCATACCATAAAATAACAGTAATAAATATACAATAACATATCAAATATTGTCCAATTAAACATTTAAAATATGGGATGTACGATCTCTTGGGACTCGGTCTATGATGACCTAAAAGAGCGATGAAGCAAAGGAAAATCAAGTTTGACTTTTTCCTATCAATCAGTGGTTCAAAAATTGTGAGAAAAAATATAGATGCATAGTGGCAATTTTTTATGCAGCAGTGGAAGATTAGGACCCCCAAGGCCCTATTAATGGATAGGATAGGGTTAATAATCGAACTAAGCCTTTAAACTTTTTTTTTTCTTTTTTTTTTGTAGTAGTAGTTTCTAATTGCTCTGCTGTTATTGACATGTAAATTAAAGTCCTATCGTCAAGTAATATGACAGGTAGGTGTAAAGTTTTTTCAATTTATTGTTTCACTTATTCATAATTTTTATTCACAATTTGCAGTTATATATACACATATTTGTGTTGATTATTGCTTTACTTCGGTGTGTTTGGTTGCTGGTGAATTGCTGGAAAATTAAAAAAAAAAAAAAGAAGAAGTAAAGAAAAGAGTAATCTCGAAAATAATCATCTTTGTGCTTTATTGCCACAATATGAACTAATATCTAAAACACCAAAAGGGATGATAATAAAATGATGGAGATTACATCTATAGACTATACATACTCCAGACAATGTGCAACCATACAAAGTTAAACAGAACCAATCCAAAAAGAGTGATCACCCACTAAGCCTGCAATTACCAAATAAAATGAATTAACATGCAGAACAAAGGAGATCAAAAAACTATGGGTACATGGTTAAAGCTTACCTTGTTAGAAATTTTGTTTGAAAGCCAATCCAGTCCCTCATATAGCCCTTCTCCAGAAGTGGCACATGTGGTCTGGATATACCTGCAAGATCAGATTATGTATGTGTGTGATGCAGAAAAGGAGTGAAGCAAAGGGGAGGAGGCATGTCTATCCATATTACCAGTGTCGCTGTCGAAGAGAATGAAGGTCAAGCTTATCACTGATCTCACCAGCATTCATCGCATTGGGAAGATCTTGCTTGTTTGCAAACACAAGCAACACAACATCCCTTAATTCATCCTGCAGACAAATAAAGAGAGATGGTACCAACAAAATAAAATATCTCTTGCGTCCATTATTCTGTAAGTTCAAGTAACAAAGCATTGTAGCTAGTACCTCACTCAACAACCTATGCAGAGTTTCTCTGGCGTCGACCACACGGTCTCGGTCATTGCTATCGACCACAAAGATAAGCCCTTGTGTGTTGGGGAAGTAGAACCTCGACAAACCTCTAATCTGAAACCCGTCAAACCAATATCGAGAATTATAAAAAAGTACAAGCACATCCAAACACAACTTAGAATATTATGAGTTTGACAGAGTAATATTTGCTTACCAGGTCATAACCACCAATATCAAATACAACAAAGTTAATGTTGTTGTACTCAACAGTCTCCACATTAAATCCTGCCAGTAATTAAACATATATGATATCACTTGTCTTGTGAAAGGCACATGACACACTTCAACTTCATATTTGTACAAAGCTATAGAAAATGATTGTCAATTGACAGCATACCGATGGTAGGGGTAGGGGTAGTTGTGCCAACTTCACCTGACTTGAGCTTGTACATAATTGTGGTTTTACCAGCAATGCTAAGACCAACCAGAAGAATCTGAATTTCTCTCTTTAAAAACAGGCGACCGAAAAGCTTGGTGAAACACAGCCCCATCTTAAGCACACCAACAATCCCAAGTGAAGGCAGCAGCATATCATTGGAATCAAATTTATCATCACTAATATATAAGCTCCTAAGCCAGGGGGTTTCAGAGACAATGAAATGGAGGAGACAGAAAAGTAAGACTCACCAAATTGAAATTGACCACTCCCAGCTCCACCGCTGCCGCCACCACCACCAGTGTAAGACACCAGAGATTGGAGGATGAAGAGCGAAAGGGTATAGATCTACATATATAAAGGCCTTGCAAGAACTCCAGCGAGTCAACGATTGGTTGGCCGATACTTAAATTTGAAGTGAATAATAAAATATTCCACCACCCCATCCCCATGTGACCAAGTATTAGGGATTGATGGATGCCATATCACCAATCAGCATAAACTATAATTCATTCTTTTTTTTGCTTTTAATTTCACTTATTTATATTGCTGCCCGCCCAATGATCAACGAGGGAGGGATTGATGATGAATGAGTGAATGTTGAGCACATCTTCCTAAGTCAACAGAGCATCAGGCAAGAAAACTCCTTTTTGGGACCTTTATTAAACCCAATATCGACTCTACTCTATTGTATCTCCATAACTTTCCGACCAAAGATTTGACTAGGAGGATTCAGATCGAAATTCAAAGCCCCATTCATTTTTTTTTTTTTGGTAATAAGAAATATGTCGCTTGTATCGACCAAGAAAAACTTGGAACCCTTAACCTTCAAAAGACAAGGAATACTATTGGACCCTCTCAAAGATGCTAATTGATCAAAATCTACTGGACAGAATTGCTCTTGTATGGCCTTGCAAACTACATGAAATTTCCATGCCCCACAAAAATGTCCATGAAAACTCCATGCTCTTTTAGGGTGAAATTGCTCATTTACAAATAATCTCACATTTACACCGACAGATAAGAAATGAAGAGCTGAAATTCCAATGGCAGCATACGATTGCCTCATACAAAACATAAAATGACCCGATTCATGTTTGATACCCAACATTAATCGTACAAATCATGAAAGAGTAGACAATCCAATATGCAAAGCTATGTATATTATAAAAGCACAGTAAATGTGAGAAGGGGAAAAAAAGAAGAAAAGAGTAATTTCAAAAGTAACCATCTTTGTGCTTTATTGCCACAGTCTGAAAGAGTATCTAAAACACCAAAAGTAATGGTAATAAAATGATGGAAATTACATCTATACTCCAAATAACGTGCAACCATACAAAGAGTTAAACAAAACCCATCCAGCAAGCGTGACAATCCACTAAGCCTGCAATTACCAAATAAAATGAATTGGCATACAGACAAACGATAATCTCTTTGAATTAAAACAAAAATCTATGAAAGTGCATTCAGTGTTTTATACATTGCTAAAGTTTACCTTGTTAACAATGTTGTTTGAAAGCCAATCCAGTCCCTCGTATAGCCCTTCTCCAGAAGTGGCACATGTGCTCTGGATATACCTGTAAGATCTCTGAAATATCAGATTGTGTGTGTGCGCAAGAGGGAAGGAAAGGGGAGGCATGTCTATCCATATTACCAGCGTTGCTGTCGGAGAGACTGAAGGCCAAGCTTATCAGTGATCTCAGCAGCATTCATTGCATTGGGAAGATCTTGCTTGTTTGCAAACACAAGCAACACGGCATCCTTTAATTCATCCTGCAGACAAATAAAGAGATGGTGTCAACAAAATGAAATATTTCAGAATGCAGGTACTTAAACTTTACAAAGAAGTTTCTCCACCAGAACTTTTCTTTCTTTTTTTTGACTTATTTACAGATTACCTTACATTACAAACAATAACCGGTAAGTTCAAATAACAAAACACGGTAGTACCTCATTCAACAACTTGTGCAGCTTATCTCTTGCCTCACCCGCACGATCTCGATCATTGCTATCGACCACAAAGATAAGCCCTTGTGTGTTCGAGAAGTAAAACCTCCACAAACGACTAATCTAGAACCGACTTAAAACAAAATCGAGAATTATAAAAATATTTTAAAAAATAAAAACACATCCAAACAAAAATCAAAATATTTTGAGTAAATACAAAACAACAAAAGCTAGATATTTTGAGTAAATATATAAATTCAGTATACTTCTCAACCCAACTCAAAAACAGATTTGATACATGGCAATATAAGTACCCGGGGGGGGGGGTTGTATGTGTGTGTTTACATTGATTAACCGAAGAATGAACAACACGCAACTTTAACCACATTATCAATTAATAGGCACCATAAGAAAGACTAAAAGAGAAGGTAGTCAAGTTACATCTGGTATACAGTAATGTTGAGTGGTGTCAAGAAAAGCAATGCTGGTGCTCAACAGTTTCCCGTCAAAGAAATATGCAAACTCATTTTGCATGCCAATTTATGCTGCATCCATACACAAGTTCAAAAGGCCTACAAATGTGAGCCACAACATGGATGCCTTCACTTTGTGAACTTCAAGGAAGACTGACAGCCAAGGTGGTCCACATAAATCTAGTTTATGATAATATTAAGTGCTGATACAGAGCACAATCAGCACCAGACCATCCAAAAGCACATCCCATAGTGTTAAGAGAGCTTGTATCCCACATCGAATAATTAGGACAACCAAGATAGGTTTATATACTACTTGAGGGGCTACTTCACCCATTTCTAATTGGTTTTGAGTTGGTGACTCATGACACCCGAGATTTGCCCATATATGCCACCCCCAGCTTTGCAGATGAGACAGTCTGATTCTGTGACTCTAGAAGTCCTGCTTTGTATCAGCTTATATCACATGTTTATATGTCATGCACCATTCCACAGTTAGAACCCAGCCACATGTACAAGTTAAGACTAGATGACCCAAATGAAGGAACTTAGCTATAGTAGATCCAAGTTTGTAATGATATCAACCTCTCACACAGGCATTATTTGGCACCTCAGCAGCCATGAGCTACAGTGGGATGTTTTATTACAAGGATATATTATATAAGATTGACAAATAAAATAATTACTTACCTGGTCCTGACCACCAATATCCCATACAGTAAAGTTAATGTTCTTGTACTCAACAGTCTCCACATTAAATCCTGCAGTAATTTCAATACACAAGAAAAAAGGAAAAAAAAGTCACAAATTATAAATGTGGTCAACCTAATAGAGATGATGTTACTTGTGTTACACAACAAACATTCAAGGAACAAAATTAACAATGTAACGGATGTGTGCATTCTGTAAGGTACTCGATTCTAAATCATACAATTTGAGGAAAAAAATTTCATGGTGTTAACAATGCCCTTATGTGTTAATGTAGACATGATAAATATATATCAGAAGTGGGGAGTTTGTTGTATCCACACACTAAGCCATCATGACCAAAACATCATTGATCAAATACAATCCAAAACTTTCTGAAAGGATCATGAGATACTTTCATCCAATCTATGCCTCAATGGTATAATCCATTGTCTTTAAGGAGAAATAACCTATTACATGGGTTTAAAACTTCATGCATGTGTTTGTCCAGAGCTAGAGAAAATGATTGGAAATAGATTTTATAGTACTTGACAGCATACCGATGGTAGGGATAGTCGTGACAACTTCACCCAACTTGAGCTTATACAAAATTGTGGTTTTACCAGCAGCATCAAGACCAACCATAACAATGCGAATTTCTCTCTTAGAAAACAGGCGACTAAAAAGCTTGGTGAAAGACAGCCCCATCTTTAGACCTGCACACCAACAATCCCAAAGTGAAGATCACATATCATTCAAATCAAACTTACCATCACTGAACACATAGCAAGCGACAAGTTTACTTACGGGTGAAATTTAAAAAAAAAAAAAACAGCAAACCACATAGATAGAACCCAAAATAAGAAATTTGCAAATTATGATAAAATGAGAAAAACTGCCCCTTATTCAGCACATAAAACTATTAAGAGATGAGGGAGAACAATACAATAGTTGTCTAGACGAAAGGGACATGAACAGATTCAAAATTCAGTCCAATTAGAGTGAAAACTTCCCTAATCTTGAACTAGAACTACAATTTTAGGACAAAGGACAACCAAATCTCTTAATAACAACGCTAAGCAATAAAGCTTTATCAAAACTATTTTCAGTGAGCTTAACGTTTAATGGCATTCCACTGAATTTCATCTAAACCCAGTTTTGTTAGTCAAAAGCGCACATCACAACGAGTGCTAATGAAATGATGAATATCAGAAAAGAGGTTGAGGGCCTGAGTTTGAACCAAGTTAATTCAAACTATTTCTTTCCTTGTAAACTTTTGAAAACAATTTATTTACCCAAAAAGTAAAAACTCTTTTTAAGACTATTCCAGTAAGCTAAGCTGCGGTATCAGAAACAATGGAAAATGGTGGAGAGAGAAAAGTGACTAACGAACTGAGAGAGTCGGGAGGGAGATCAGGAAATTGAAATGGATGGATGTAACACGTACACAGATTGGAGGAAGAAAAGCGAAGGGGTCTGTCAACAAATATATAGGACTTCCTAAGAAACGCAGTCCACGAATTGATCAAGCAAGCCAATACTTCAAATTTGGAGGGAATAAAATAGTCCACCCCACCCCAGAACAATTCTTGGCGACGAAGTATCAGGATCCATGTCATCTCACCAATCAGGTGTCAGGACAAAGACTATACTTCTTTTGGGCTTTTTTCGGAATAATCATATTTACACCCCTTAAAATTTGTTATTTAATTATTTAAATTCCTTGACGTTCGAAATATTACACACAAACCCTCTAAAATTTATACGTGCATAACACTTCGACCTCTGCCGTCAAATGTCCGTTAGTATATCTATTAATAAACTACACTCAGATCCCTTAAAATTTATAAGTATATAATACTTAGATCCTTTAAATTTAAAAGATTATGTGAAAACCAAAAATACTCTAATCAAACATAAAATATTAAATATTTTAAATTTTAAAATCAAAATTCATCTTATATTATATCATTTATTGAAATAAAATTAAAATTTTAATTTTTACTTAAAAATCATAATTAGTATACAATTATACTATCTATTATAATAAAACTAAAAAAATAAGCAAGAGGTTTAAGTCATTCATAATAGAATATGAATTTTACAGTCAAAATTTATATTCTATTATGTCATTTATTGAAATAAAATCAAAAATAAAAATTTAAATTTTTCTTAAAAAATCATAAATTATTATACAATTATAATATTTATTAGAATAAAACTAAAAACTGAAATAAGTGATCAAATTGTAATAGAAGCAATATATTCTACCTTTAATTGTGATAATTTTTAGTTTAATTTGGTTGTTTAAATGATCAAATTAAATTCCAATAAATAACATAATTCTATACTAATTATAATTTTTTTTTTAAAAAAAAATTTATTTTTTATTTTATTTCAATAACTATCATAATAGAATATGAATTTTTGTTGTAAAATTTAAAATATTTAATATTCTATCTTTGTTAGAGTATTTTTAGTCTATGTATAACATTTTAATCTTAAAGAGTCTAAGTATTACACGTATATAAATTTTAAGAAGTTTAAAAGTAGTTTACAAACAGATATATTAATAGATATTGACGGCAGGGCATAAGTGTTATACGCGTATAAATCTCAAGAGGCCTGTGTGTAATATTTCAAACGTTGAATATTTAAAAAATGAGGTGTAATTCTCCCCTTTTTCTTTTTTTGGTTTGTTGGGCCATTCTTGTTATAGTGATGCGACGTCGCACCCAACTCTGGAATTTCTTTTTTCTCCTTCCTCCTTCTGTAACTTCTGTACGGCAAAACAACTAACATATTTTACTCACTAATATTTTTTATTAAAACTAAACTCATATTAAGCCTTTGGCTATTGCAGGATGCAGATTAAACTTCAGAACCCCCACCTTTAGTTTTGCAGATCAAAATAATAGATTTTAGGGTTAATATCATTTTTGATCTATAAAATATGTATATTTTATTAATTTAATTCATAAAATATTCACATTTCGTCAATTTAGTCATCAATATATAAATTTTATCAATTTAATCCCTAAAATATTTCATTCGTATTTAAATAATTCATACACAAACTGTCAAAATATTACATACTTTAAGAACCAAAAATATTATAATATGAACTGAATTATTAGTACGGTAACCTATTCATATACATATTCATATTTTGTTAAATTTAAACATAAATTAAGTGAAAATTTATATATTTTCTCAAAGACGCTAATTGGTCAAATCAAAATCCATTGAATGAAATTGTCCTCCTTGCAAGCTCTTACAACCATGAAAATTCACATGCCTCATGAAAATACCATGTTGTTTCAATGGCATCTGAGGGGTTCTTGCATTCCCTGAAAACGAACAAAGATCTGCCTACGATTTCCAAAATTGCAGAACAACAATCTCCTTCAGCTTGCTACAATTCAAATGATCATGCTTTCTTTATAGACAACCTCTCTGACCACAAGAAAAACACAAAAGAAGAAACAAATCAGTAAAACTTATTACCTGGTGAATCAAATATCATATCGACTAGGAGGGCATATTTTCGTCCTGAGTAAACAATAAGCTAGTCATTTCATCTGGCAACATTCAGATTTGCCCATTCTAAAAGAGACCAGCTCGGAATTTTACTTACTTATCAATTCATAAGTAACAATCATGGTAGTTCCATAGAGAGACATGTTCAAGAACCGGGGTCCGAACCCTCTATAGAAGCCTCTCCATCCATCTTCTTTAAGAAGTGTCTTCGCTGTCCTGATTACTGATGGCCTTCCAGCACCATAATCATCAATAACCTTCAATTTTAGAGAGAGTCGCAATCACAAAGAAAGGATCTTAGATTCTGACCTATTCAGTACACAGATCTGAATTAACATACTAAAAAACTAGCTAAAATTTTAGAATTGAAGATTGTTCGAGCTGTAGCTGTAGTAACACGAGAAACAAGAGGGCAATCCCATATGTCTTGTTACCTGAAGTCGTGTCTTTACAGTGTCTATGGGAGTAGTAACAACTGATGAACAGGCACCAGCCACCATTCCTGCCGTAGCCTGAACTGCAACCATATCTAAATGAGATGGTTTCTTTTCCAAATTCTCTGCACAGCTCAAGCTCCTAAAGACACAAGTTAAAGAAAATAGAGAAAGAAATTTTAGTCAATTCTCCTAATAGGTTGCCAAAACATTTAGATATACCTCCATATGATGTGTTGGGCAGCACCATAGGCACCCCACCAAAGTGCAGATGCAGGGGATTGGGTCACAGCCGTCAATCCAAAGCCTCTATACATTCCACGGATTCCTTCAGCCTTCACCACCTTGCACACAATGTCAAATGGACCATTGCAAAATGTAATCCCCGGAAGCCCTTGTACCATTAGTCTCTGGCAAATCTGTGAATACACCAAACACAATCTCTAGAAACGAATCCAACCAGTAATCAAATTAAGCCATCGTTTTATGAGGAAAGGGGAAGATGGGTTGCCGGGGGAAATTGTCTAGAAATCTTCATATCAAAACTCACTGGCCTCTAAATGGCTATGCTCACATGAATCTGCAACCATTGTTCAAATTACAAAACCCTGTAAACTGAAGCTGGCCTACTCAGGTTTCAAAATACTGAGTTTTTAATGCCCAAACTTTTTTGGAAATGCTTAATCATTGTTGATCATATTTCCCTTTTTTTCGAGAAACTGAAGGACTTGCCCATTAAAAAATAGAATTCATTATGGGATGTATGGACATTCATACAAGTTAGACCTTGGAATGAAAGACAATTAGGAACCCTCTTGGTCTACGAGCCCGGGCCTCCTCCCGCTTCTTGGGAGCTTATGGTTATTAGCCTTAACCTCATAGACATCAAGGGATTTAGAGATTTATATAGTAATTTTTAATATGAAGTAACTTAAACTAGGTGGACCTATTTTCTCCATGAACATACAATTTTTTTTTTTTTCAAAATGCTAGGAACCAATTCAGAATAAGTTTTTTACAAGGAGAAGGATTAGGAAGGCCCTTGAAGTTAAACGACAATTGAACATAGAGTTGCAAGGAACTCTCGATAAACGAATAGATGTGAACTGAAACAGTATGTTTTAAGGATGATAATCTTGAATTGAATGTTCCTAACACCGCTCCCACAATACTTTCAGAAAGTCTTTGTCTTGAAATAATAAAAAAAAATCTTGTGTTCAATCACTCATACATGTATTCAATGAAATTATGTCTCCAATATATCATTTCTGCAATACCAACAGCATTATCTGGGAAGTATGGCTAAACTGACCTTAGTGCTGGCAATGTTCTTTTCAAGATTAAACATGTACAGAGATATCTGCCCTTGGAACAGTCTTTCCTGACTTGTACTTAAATAACTAATTAAAATAAACAACAGAACCACTGCGTTGAATTTTACAAAGCACAAACTACTTATCAACAACTAGCCCTTCTGAAAAAGGAGGTAAAATTGAAAAACCAGTTGATCAAAAAATCAGTTTCTTAATTCACAAAATCCACTGTTTCAGAATTTCAAATGCTTTTTGGTGATGGCAATGCTTTGTCCCATTCAAAAAAAACGACTCTACTAGATGTGCAGATAATACTAAAAAGTGCATGCTAGGATTTAAATCCCATTACCGCCGTTTAACAATTAAAAGATTATATCTGAAAGCAAAAAGAACATTTTTTGGGAATGCCAAAAGATAGGAAAGAATTAGTTTACCTACCACCTCCAATGGGACATAGTACACACAGGAAATTAAGTTCGACAACATGCCTGCCACTCCATTTGCAATGCCAACCCGAGTTGCTTCAGGCATATCCAGACCTTCTGTGCATTTCAGCATCATATCTTTTGATACTTCAAGTGATGTCAAAGCCAAGACCCTGCCAGGCAATGATCCGATGGTAGAAGTGCCCAAGCCTCTGAAAATGCCTGGGATACCATCATGTTTGAGAATTTGTCTAAAAACAGATAATCCACTCATGTGAGAGAGTCCAGAACTAGCAACTTGCATTCTAGTCTTCACAACTGCTGTTGGATGAATTAACGCCAACTGAGCAGTGAAGAGGATGGCCCCAATGACATGAAATCTCATCTTATCCAACCTAGTTAAGACCCAAAAAAGATCAGCTCTACTGCCTGTCTCAATAGCATAAAACTACTCTTATCCAATGTGCAAGGTATTTAGATGCATATAGACAGAGAAAAAAGGGCGGTAACAAATTGCAGCCACCAACCTCACTGAATAAGTCAAAAGTTTAGCAGGTGTAGGCTAGTGAACAATTATTTTACACAACCATCACCATCACAGAGTCCTAAAATGATAATCAGCGCAAACAAGTGAGAAAAAAAAAGACTCTAATTTGTACAAGCAACCATTCCGCTGAAAAACAGACCTAAAGCCCATCAACCAAGAAATTGGGAGCAGATAGAGCATTTTGAAGTTTGAACCCTCCCAGATTGTTGTGTAACAGCACCATTATGTCAAACATTACTGAGCCCAAAAATGTTGGAACAAAGCTTTATTGAGTTGAATTTTTTACCATTATGTCAAACACCTGATGCAAGCTCTTTTCCAAAGAGAGAGAGAGAGAGTTATATGCCATGCTATAACTTTTGTAGCCTATTTCTACATTAGTCATCATCATAGGCCTGTGCACATAAGTGTGATAGCTCGGTGTCCTACCCTGTTTTCTTTGGGTAATGAAACGACTTCTTTTATAGGAAAGCAAGGCTTTTACAAGGACAAAAAAGGGGGAAACTGAAAAACCCCTCTAAAGCAGATATATAAGCCTAAGTTGATTGATGGCTTTCCAGAAGAGACTGTTTTCAATAACTGAAAAGTGTGCCACCCTACAGAGCCACCATAAACTATTGACACCATTTCCACAGGTAAACATTGTCAGCAATAACACAAAGTTCTCGCTCTTCCACTAATAAAATATGCAATTGAAGTGATATCAATGTATACCATGAGCCTTTATCCAACCATGTATACCAATGAGCCTTTATCCAATGATACTCTTTGTCGTGTAAAGGTTTTGCCTTTGAGGTCAACCGTTCAAGTCCCTTCCCCTTCCCTCTCCCAAAAAAAAACCCGTAGATTCTGACATAGTTTTCTCTTTGACAGATTGTCCTCGACATCAACTATGAAATTGGGGAACATCAGTGTCAAGCTAGCTTTTACCAATACAATTTTAAATCCGTTCCAATGCTCACAACATTTGAATTCAAGTGTCAAAATTTTGAAGAAATGCTTGCAGAACG